GGTGGCGACAACGGCCCAGCCCTGGCGCGGCCTGGTGGGGCGGTGGTGTCGGCCCCAAACTCTGCCGTGGCCCTCGCCTGAGGCGGGAGCGTCAGGCCTGGGCTGCAGCGCTCCAGCTGAGGAGGGAAGGAGGGAGGGATGGGGCTTAGATCCTTAGGAAGGACGGTACAGTGTGTGGAAGAACGTGGCTCTCGGTGTGTGATGAAAAGGTGAGTGTGATCTTGTGAAAACTTGTGTCAGAAGTGCTTTTCTCTCTTCCTATTCCCATCTGTTGTGCATCTGGTTTGGGGTAGCTCATCCCCTTTGTGCCTGGCTGCATGTCATGCTGGCATTCACCTTGCAGCTGGGTTGCTGCCTTCGACATTGGGAAGTGAAGCTATAAAGCCTTGTGAAAGTGAAAAGAAGGCCAGGGTGGGCGTCCCTTTGGACATGCTGTCTTTCCAACTTGGGGTGCTGCTGAAGGTTTCCTAAGATAGGTGAAGATGTGCCCTCTTTTGAAGAAATAAACAAAAACTGATTTTTTTTTAACTTTAAAGCAACTATTGGTTATTGAAGTATACTTATAACAAATGGCACTTATTTGAAATAGTGAAGGCTTTCATCTCTCAGGATACTCACTTCCATATGTCCAAAGTTAAGCCAGTGTGGTAGAGTCCATAATACTATAAGAACAGGCTTATGTATCATCAGATGTGAAGTCAGTTCTTGAGTTTTTGGAAGATTCTTTCACAACGCATGTAAATATTACATAGAAATATAACTGCAACATTGTACTAAATCTTGGAATCACGCTATTTTTATTGTGAAATACGGAAGTAAGTTTGGTTGTTCACTTTGTGTAGAGTTATCAATAAAGGTTTTGGTTGCCTCATTAATTAGTAAACGGCTTCTTGTGCATAAGGGAACAGTTATGAAAACTTCTGGAGTGAATAATAGATATTAAACTTGTAAGTAATGGCATTGGTAGAAGTTCTGTGCTATAGACATGAATTTTCTTCCATCTTTAAGTGGTCGAGGCTGAAGATGTGTCTCATGCTTAACCATGTTAACGAAGAATTGCTTTTTGGATTGTGACCTTTTTCATGGGTTTATTTCCACTGGCATGGATTGGGATGCACATTTGAGCAGCTCAGATGGCAGACTTGAGATGGTTTTTATTCTATTAGGGGACCTGTGATGAGCAGGTAGTGGCTATAGTCATTACAGATCCAAGTTTCAGTTAGAAGACATACTCAGTGTCCACAGCCTAAGTTCAAATGTTTGCTCCTTGCATTTTTAGTGTAGTGTATGTACTGTTTAGAGTTCACATGGTTGGCATAGTATCAACAAACACCTGCAGCTGATTTGCACTAGGGCTGCCAACATCACTGATTTTTAACAGAATTATCTAACGGTAGGGAACGAGAGGAGAGATGAAGGTAATGTCCACAGTGTAGACAGAGCTAATGTGTAAGTGATTTCATAGAGAAGAAACTGCATGACTTCCTTTATTCTCAGACTCTTCTGACTGGAAATTTTGTCAGTCCAAGTAGTGCATCTTTTCAGATAATTTTCCCAAGAATCATACACTTATGAATAATAAAAAACATGCATTGTGGTGTTAATATCCACCTTTGTAATCTTTTTTGATCTTCTGAGAAGGCAGTGATGATTTTCTCTCACTTAAGTTCTAGCTGTAGTCAGGAAGTGGAGCAAGGGTCTGAAGAGTCAGTTAAACTTGAAATTGGTTAGTTAGGAGGTAGCTGGTATGGAAGACCACGATCTGTAGCACTTGTTATGATCTTATTGGTTCCATGTGTTTTTCTGTCTCTGTCTTGTTATTTTACAGTTCTGCTTTAAGCCAGCCATGGAGGAGAGCAGGTGACATCTTTTGTGTGCATCATCGGGCTTGCTGCTTGCACTTATAGAGGGCTGAACTCTGTAGTGTGTGTTGAAGAGAACAAAAGTACACAAGCTGGATGAGGAGAAAGCTTGGATCTTCAGAGTTGTGATGACAAATAAAAAGAAGGACTACTATGTTTTGAAGTTCCAAGCAAAATTACAAGCTTGCAAATTGGAGCATATTTTTTTCTTTTTTTTATTAATAAGCTAATTAAATCATTAATATATACATCAGATTAGTAGCTTCACAAGGAATGAGGACAAGTAAAATTACATAGTAAATGAACTGAATATTGATTTTGGGTTTTGTGTAGGGTGTTTGAATGAAAAGGTTGATGTTGTGGTTAAGGGTCTTGAACACATGCTAATAGTTTTCTACTGGAAAAACTGAGTGGATTCAGAGTGCTAGTGTGGTGTGTCTTACTGAGTTTAAGTGCAAGCTTCATTTGGATTTCCATGGAGAATGAGTTAAAACTGAGTGGAAGTTAAGAACATCCTTTTTTTTTTTTTTTTTTTTTTTTTTTTTCCAGTCAAAGCAGTAGTGTCAAAAGAGCCAGAAGAAAAGATACCTGTTTTCTAGCTTTTCTGCTTTTTTGTGACATGTTCCTAGACCAATTTGTTTTTCCCCCTCTTAACTGAACACCATAAAGTGTTAGAGATGCTAAAATATTGAAATGCCATGTGGACTTTTTTTTATTATTTTACACAGACAAAAGGAAAAAAGGCACAGTCAAATTCTGAAGCTTTAGGTACAGCTCCAGTGGAAGAAGAGCGTGCTAGTGATTCAACAAAACCTAAGCCTTTGGCACAGGAAGCTAATCGGGCAAAGATAAAATGTGTTAATACATACAGACTGGAGTCACGGAATAAATTTCAGGATTACTTAGTAAGAAAAAAAGCTCAAGCAATACTAACGGTATAGTATTTTTTTTTTTTAATAATTGTCTAATTTTATTGTAAAAGTAGTTTATCTTGTACAGATTATATGAATGGAACTGTGTAACTTGCATAAACTTAAACATATGCATAAATCTTTGCAAACTTCAAGTTTTGGCACACAAATGAAATGTGAATATATGCCATTTTACAGAGTGCAGAAGGCTCTCTGGAAGGTTGCCACTGAGCACATGTTGTTGAAATGAAGCTGAAGCTTCTTAAACGCTTAGCTGCTGCTAAATCAAATTGAGCTATATGGCGCAGTTCAGAGTACCCTAATCTGCAAAATATCCACTTAGCTGAAGATTCTAACCTTGAGTTTGTGATATTCTACTCCTTTGATTTGTTCTAATATTGTGTGACCTGCATAAAATATACTTGATGTCCTTAACAGTCTGACTGCCACATATAAAAATTAAGCAAAAATGAAGGAGAACGATCTGTTGAGATAATATGTAGCTGTTGTTTGTAACTTATCAAGATATTACTAACTCTGCTGTCTGGAAGCCCTTCCTTGGGTATTTGTAGCACTGTTTTCAGTGAACTGAGCTCCAGTGATGAAGAAGAATACACTCCTGCTTGTTAAATAGAAACTGGCTGGACATGTCAATCACTTGCAAAAAATAGATAAAGCAGAGTAAAATAATGCAGCTGTTGCTGTCTGAGAGCATGATCTATATTGATTCTACTCATTATTTCTAATGTTCTTGTAATGGAAGTGATTGTACAAGTTTTTTTTGTGAGAGACTGCTAGGATAAAAACTAAGATCTTTCAAAATTGTTCTTGATAGAATAAACTTCAAGATGCCCAATACAGTGGAGATTCTAGTCCTTCCTTGTGTGCTTCAATCTCAGAAGAAATATTAAAGGCTGTGAAGGAAATGGACTTTGACCGTTACAAATATGTGGTATCAGTACTAATTGTGGAAAAGGCAGGTCAAGCAATGAATGTGAGCAAACATATTATTCATAATATCTTTTGCAAATTGGAAATATTTTTTAGAACTGTATGTTATCTCCTACATGTTCACCTGAATTCAGCAGCTTGACTAGTTTGAGGTGGTCTTGAAGCCTCTGGGTTCTTCATGGGGAATAGCAAGCTGGGTGACAACATAAGGTGACTCTACTTAACCCTGTGAAGATGGTCTCTTTCTTGAGTTCAGTAATAGTGGTAAGCAGCACATGCTGCTCTTCCCAGTCAGCCAGTTACTACTGCTGTGTGCTGTGCCAGCACAATTGCATGACTGCAGTGAATGTTCTTTTTTTCTTTTTTTTCCCCAGTGTACTTTGATCTCCACCTGGGTTATCATGTTCAGTGCAAAATGCTGTGCATTCATAGTGTAGGTTGACATTAGAAGGATGGAAGGCAAGGAAAGGGATGGAAACTGTTGTAACTGTAGTTGACACCAAACAGGTGTTTCTGGGACTACAAATTAACATCAGTGATCTGAACTTGGCACACTCAAATTAAAAATATTCTGGACTTTTCTGTCTTATATATAAATGTACATGTATTGCAAGCCCTCAGATCCAGAACGCTTTTGGTTATCTTGCCCAGTGTTAGAGAGCACTTCTATTTAGGAATGTTCATCACCAGCTGTTAAAACCTGATGAAACTGTACCTGGTTTTAGTGGGAAACAATGTTTGAAGGATTTTCAGCTTCAGTAATTAAGCCACTCTGTGAGGCGCCTGCATCTTGAACTTTGGAGCCATAGGTTAAAACCGGTTGCTGACATGATCAAGTTAACTTATTTCTCCTGAGGAATATGCTTGTTCCAGCAGTCAATTCACACATTTTAGCTTTGAAAACAATTTTATCAAAGAAGCTAAGAGCCCAGTAGACTGGACTAAGTTGGAGGTGGAGGAGAGGGAGGCATAACTCCTTAGTTGTATTTGTTCCCAAAACTAACGTCTCTCCACGTTGCTTTCGAAGGGGTGCTGGTTCAGTACGATGACATGCTAACGAGCATGAGAGAGGACCGAGGTTTTGGTGTAGAGATTTTTGGATCTGTTGGGGTGGGAGCTATTCTGTGAAGCAAGAACACGTGTTTTAACATCAAATAGGACTTGTTCATTTTGACTGTCATTTTCCAGTTGTTACTACTTGTTACTCTCATAATGCAATTATATCAGTATTTATGTAATGCTGTATGCTTTTTTAAAAAAAAATAATATAAAAGCTGTGCTGTATATAGATTCACAAATAGCTTTTTTTGTCTCTTTTTTTTTTTTTTTTTTTCCTTTAGGTTGCCAGCAGATGGGTCTGGGATGCTCAGAGAGACTCTTGGGTTTCAGCTAAATGTGAAACTGAAACATTTATTGCACTGGCTCTGGTAATGGCTTGTTACTATGAGTAGTACTCAGAAAGCCACACCTGTTTTTGTGCATCTCAATATTTGAAAGTTTTCAGAATGTCATCATTTTAGTACTAATTTTTGTCCTAATGCTGTGGGTACATTGAAATAGACATGTATTTGAGACAATCTTGCTATTTTTTTCTCACTTAGAAAACTCCCAAACCTAAACAAAAAACCGTTTTGAAATGCGTATGGTTGGGTACATATGGGCTTCATCTGTCATAAAGCTCTGCTGTGGAAGTTGAAGCAGCTGGTATGAAGCCAAAACTTTGCAGAGTTTTGAACGTTGCTTGTGTGTTGCATGCCTAGAGTTGTTAGTGAATGTTTACAGTAAACTGCAGGTATTGGTATTCTTAAGTGTGCTCTTTTTAAGAAAAAGTAAGTGTTCCTTTTTTAGTCCTGCTTACCAAAAAATGGTGCTTTGTGTAGAATCATCACCGAAGTGCATTTGCCTTGGATCAAGTGTGAGTTAAGGCATTGGCTTCTCTGGGCCTTAATCTCACATTAAATGTAAAGTGTGTTCAGGGTGGTAGCTGAGAACTGAATTGGGTGAGTTTCGCGTGACTTCTGAGGGCAAAGGCAGGAGGACAAAAGGGTTGGTAACCAGACTATTGGGAGCGGTCCGTAATTGGCAAAGACAGCAATATTTCGAAAAATAAGACTGGTAGTTGTGGGAGGTGCGTAGGCATCAGCGTATGGAACTGCCGTGTGTGGAAATCGTGCACGGATGCCTTTTCCTTTTGTATTGTGAAGAGCTGAAAATAAACGCCTGCGAGCACAGAGGGGAGTGGTGCTGCTTCAGAACGCCCCGTGGCCTGCTCGGGCCTCGGCGCTTTCGGGAGCCGCGCACGGGGGACGGGGAACGGAGGGTGGGCTCCCCCCAGGGAGCGGCTTTACGCTTTCTTTCCCGTGTGGCAGCCGTGCATGGCCACGGTGACC